ACCAGTGTTTTTCATATAAATAGTCAATCAATGAAAGCATTTAAATTTCTACAAAATCAGCTTTTTCTCCTTATTAGTTGATAATCAGGAGTTCAGATTTATAAATACTTCAACAAATTTCACTAATATCACTAATCTGTCATTGCTAGGTAACCATTAGAAACCTGGAAGCACTGGACGATCGTTTCGTCCCAGTATGGGAATCATCAGCATTGTGCATTCAGGACACTCGCTCGCTGGAAACGATTCATGATTTCAATGAAAATCAGTCATCTCTATAACCTTATAATGAAACTCATAAAAATGTCTTTCCTGGTGACTTTTCACGAAGACTATTGGTGAGGTTACGCAATACCTTGGATTGATTAAAGTGAGGCATTAAAACCTTTGGATGCCTATCCAATGTTCCAGAGGTTAATCGTTCGCACGCGGGACCGAAGGTCCTGAGTTAGATTCCCGCGAATGAAGGTCGTGCTTGCGCACTGCTGATGAGTTACATACTAGGATGAAACGACTGCTCAGTGCTTCCAGGTTCCTGATACCGTTCTAACAATGATCAGTGCATGATTTCAATGTTACCCAACAGTTTTCATAACCCTATAGTGAAAAACACCAGTAAATAACAGATTTTCTTCTATTTGATTGCATCATTTTCAAACTAACTATAATCTGTAAAATATATCCTTCAAAATCATTTGAAACCTTATACACTAATTTCTAATTAAAAATATAGAAAACCATAAATTCATCAGGATATTGTCTAGAATGGTTCTTAAATTTAACTACATGATGTTGTGTACAGAATATTGAGATAAATATCATGAGTCAAATTTCAGATGCACATTTTATAAAAAAAATGATTTATTTCTACGGTATAGAATAGTATGTCAGTTACGTAGAACATCATACTACATATATACTTTCGGGGTAATCACACTTCTCAGTAGCACAGGTGAAGGGAAATTCAAAGAGCGATAAAAAAGTTAGGAGGTACAGGATTTTGAAATGAATGAAAGGACTATATTAGAGCTATAGTAACAGATTTCAGTTGATTTTAAATGATATTTCCGACTACTGATAGTCAACACCTAAACTTTTCCTAAATAAGTTAGAGTGGAACTCTAATATACTATTCACTAGTCGAGTTTCTGATCTGACCTACTGAATACTGGCTACATTGTTATACAGACAAAGATGATTTACAAATCATGAATTCTTACCTAGTAATCTTGACATAATTAATTCGGATAATTTGGGCAATGAAAAAATTCACTTTTATTTTCAAAACCATATGTATGATTCAGTTAATAATCAAAATATGTTATGTTGATTGATCTTTCTGGTTTAGTAAATTTTCTAGTGAACTTCTTCGTTGTATCGGATAGTCTTCTCATGTTTCCTACTCTTGGATCTTCTTCCACTATCACTGCTAGATCTTCCACATATATATGTTTACCAGCTTTGATGCTCTTCTTCACTTGCTCGTTTACAATTATGTATTCATCTTAAGCCTTAGCTTTCTCTGTCTGATTCGAATGTTATTGGCTGCTTCTTTCCTGTTCTTTCTTGCTTGAATCTTATCCGAAGTATCAGCAGAAATCCATTCTTTTTGATGGTGCTTCTTGTGACCCGAAACCTCGTGACGTGTAGAAGTTGTGGTTTCTTTGATCCTTTTTTAGTTATTGCCCATGGTAGTTTCCATTTCATTGGGTAGATCACTAAAGGCTATGAACTCGTCGCTAAGAGCTATCATGAATTCGTTATGTTTGCAGGTATTCCGAAGAAGGGCCGTAATAAATTATTGTGATGGTGTCCACCCTGTTTTCCAGTGCTTCTTGAGTTTTAGCTTCGTTTCGGCTACCAGCAAGTGTTGATCTGTGGCTTTATCAGCTCCTCTCTTGGTTCTCACGTCCTCTATTGTCCTTCGCAAATTTTTGTTGATACAGATATGGTCGAGTTTGATCCAGTGAAATCCATGTAGCTTTGTGTATGCGTTTGTGCTGGAATATTGTTTTGCTGGTGACCATTTTTTTGAAGGCACATAGGTTTGCAAATCACTCACCATTTTCGTTCTTTTCTCCCACTGCATGTCGTCCCATGATCTTTTCATATCCAATGTTGTCTATGTCTAACCTGGCTTTAGGCCTTTAATCAGAGTAATCAAGTCCTTTCCCGAGCATTTCTCTACGTTTGACTGTGGCCTCTTATAAAATTGGTCTTTATCTTCCTCACTGTTATTGTTTCTGGGCGCATAGCACTGAATGGTAATAATCCCTAATCCCCCTTTTTCTTTTCTAGAAAGATGCTTTGATGATCCTTGATCCATGAGATTCCCATCCTATGTGTTTTTGGGCTTTTTAGGACGGCATCAGTGCAACTCCTTGTGCATGTGAGGCATTACTCCTTATTCATGATTGAATTACAGTAGCATCTCCCTTGAAGCTAGTTTTTTTTTGTTCAACTTGAGTCCCATTTGTTTCACCTATTCCAAGCACCAACAAGTTGTATGTTTGCATGTCCTGAGTAAATTCAATAGTTCTCCCGGTCTCTGACCTTGTGCGAACATAGAATGTACCTTTACTAATTGTTGCTCTGGTTATCAGAAGGGGTATCGGCTTCGTGATTTCCTTAGAAACTCGGCTTTCATCATGAGGTGTCATAACTCTTCTAAATGAAGACCTTCCAATTCTCTGAACAGAATTTAAACGGTTTATATCATTTGTTCTGGTTAGCATTTTTCGGCGAGTTTGTTTTGTACGAAACGGTGTCGCTAACCGAATCCCCGATTCTCCTCCCTTACTCGTGTTTGGGACTAGCAGGAACCTTAGAAGGGCTCCAGGCGGAATTATATATGAACTAAAGGATGTAGAAAGTTTAGATTTCTTAATCTTTTTAATTACTTTGTACAATAGATTTCCATAAACTAATCAGATTCTAGAAAGCTGTATGAATATGCCGTTTATAACACTGAACTGTAGATCATAGTTCAAACACATAAAGTTATACTGTTCATGGTTTCGTTTTGAATGTACTTCACGAAGTCGAAAAAATTTTGATGTTTAGTATAAATATTAGTGGTGTTTTAATCTTTAAAAGCTTCGTATTCAAGTAATTTGAATAATAGGAAAGTTTTTTCCCAAAAATCACCTGAACCACAAATCCAATTCATTATCTGAGAACAAGTCAATCTTTGTCATATACGACGTCATTAACTTGTTTCAGTGATATAGAATCTCTAAAAATTATCATTATAGCAGTCAATAAGAGGTTATGGAGATTATCGAATTTCATTCATTCATTTCATTCTCGTTAGAACTTCTGGCATTTCCTCTTGAAACTTGTCACTAGTGAGTACATGAAGAGTTCCATACTAGAATGAAGCGACCGTCCAGTACTTCCAGGTTTTCAATGATGGCCTAACTTAGGTCGGTCATTGTAAGATATTTGAATAACTTTTCAACAAAATCGTATTTAACCAAAGACTTTTAGTATATTTGTAGTTAATCTCCATTACCTAATGTACATATAGCCATTAATCTTTTTTTTTTAATTTATTATTTTGTTATTCGTCAATGTTCATCAAGGACTAGAATATTCTAGAATATATACATTTACGAAAAGTATATGCACATATCTCGTAACTTCACCAATTCAGCTTGGTTTCCCCAATGAATCATTATTACAAAATACAAACAAACATTAGATAATCGTTATTTTAGACAAAATATTTCAATCCTTCCCCATAAAGAGTATATACCTTTCATAAAAATTCCTTTTTTGGAGAATTAAACTAACACAATTTACTTGAACAACACTTAATTCACTATTATCTTAACATCTTTAAAAACTCTAGTAACTCCTACTACTATTTATAAAAATGTCATCAAAGAAAGCGATAAATTCTTTTATTTTTTAAACAGTGTATTCATGACATTTTTTTTAAGATTACATACCATGAAAATAATTCAAATAACAAGAAAATTCTTTTGGAACTTTTTCTTAATGTTAATTTAATAAACAATTATTAATTCCTAACTCTTGTCAGCTATGAATGTTAGAAAAATAATTTTATACCATAGAAGATGTATCATTTTATCATCAATTAAGTATATAGTTTTTATGAGGTCGTTCGTTGATACACATGTTCATTTGTGTACTCAGTTGGGAAAATGTCCAGAATAGAAGATTTTGTCTATTAAGTCATCTTAAAGTATTCATTTATTAAAATGATTTTTACGTCAATTATTCAGACAAAATGAAACAGTTGAAATAACATCCACCGCAATACTTTATTATCTCTTTATATAGAAAAAAATTGTCTCGTTTTATTAGTCAAAGCAGATGGGGATAAGTAATCATATGATTAGTCTTTTCTAAAGAATAATCTAACCACAGTTTAATCTTTTTCTTGATTGTTATCAGTATCATTGAAACATTTTAATCTCAAGGTAAATTGTAAATTGATTTGTAACTTAAATCACTTTTTAACAAAACAAACATATGAAACGGTAAAAAATTTCTCAAATATTTTTGTCATTTTTCTTCGAAATCCCCTAAGAAACAAATCAATTGAATAAACAAACTTTTTCATGAGTCTACTAGTTGTTAATTTAGTTTATAAATAATCTTAAGTTGATTATGATACTAGGCATGTTCAAATATACTGTATTAAACCTCGATTTCTGCATTACCTCCTACTCCACTCCACTGTCACGTTCATTTCTTTCTTATTGTCGAATACCCATTCAACTGTACAGCATAATCGAAGGTGATATTAAGTTTGTTTAGGTGAAATTTTGTAATATCTAAAAATTATACAATACATTTACCATTTTCCTTGGAAATATTTTATCATAGATTCACATCAGACTTTTGTAATTTATAACAATTTAGTTAAAAAAAAAATTAAAACACTATCTATTCTATGCTTGGAATGCATTTTTAATTATCAATAATCAGTAAAACAATTTAGATTATTATTTTGATTTATATTCGAACAGAAAATAACACCACTGCAAGGTCATCACAACAAAACAGACACTACGCCATCATCTCTTATTGCCTCTGTCAATTCATTATCAACTTTAACAGTACAGGAAGAAGAAGAAGAAGAAGACGAAAACGACGAAGAAGCAGAACAAATTTTTCACTCATATTTAAATAGAAACGAAGAGATGAATACAAAGAAGAAGATAACAAACAACAATCGATCTGTGCTTAATGATGTTCCTTTGTTTACTATAAATTTGAAAGAAATTACAATTATATGGACAAATATAGAGAAACCAATAAACATTACTTATTATTTTATGGAAACATGTAATCATGCATGGAATAATTATTTTGAACATAAATACTATGGTCATTTAAACATTGGATTATCTGATATTTTTACTACACACTTATACCAAAAATCCATCTGTCAATCTATCAATTTTATAGATGAATATTTGATGAAAACACAAATCGATTACAATAAAACTCCTATAGACTTCAATAATTGTAATAATCTGATTAATTCTATTATTGATCAAAATATGATTAATAATATAGGGACAATGTATTTACAAAATTGTAATTCAATGAAATGGATGCTTTATACAACAAGATGGCCTTCTTTTCTTGTTCCAGGTAGAATGTTGACTGAAAATTTCTTAAAACCGAATTGGGCATCACCGTTTCGACGTGCTTCGACCAAACAATTATTCGAAGATATAAACCGTTATATACTGGGTGTTGAATGGGCTCATTCAAGTCAAATATTCATAATCGATCCTTTGGTACGTTATAATAGTTTTTTTAAATATAGTGACAAAATATCACTATTGAAATAAATGAAATAGGCTACATTTATGATCAAAAACCAGTAATCTACGAATATCTTCTACTCTGACTGGACATGTTTTACAGCCATAAAGTAGGACGGAGCGAACTGCTGCGCAGTACACTCGACCTTTGTTTAGTGTACGGATATTGGCAAAAGCCAATCGAGCCTTCTGTAGCCGTGCTGGGATTTCGTCATACACCAGGCCATCACAACTGATGAGACTCACGAGTTGAGTGAGGCGATCCACACGCTCAACTACTTCACTCCCTATTGCTAATGCAGGTGCCTATGCAAACCAATCTTGAAGCAACATTTTGCATTTCGAGGGGGAAAACCGCATCCCGAACATGCTTGCATTGTTGCTTAGGACAGTCAGATGACTCTGCATTTTGTCAGTGTCTTCACCAAGTAGGACTATGTCATCGGCATATTCTAAGTCAGCAAGCGTGACTCCTGGTAGAAAATCGATTCATGAAAAGTCAGACGGGGATAAGGTTATATCTAGCAGCATGTTTATGACAAAATTAAACAAGAACGGAGGAAGTGGACATCCCTGGCGGACACCACTTGAAGTAAATAATTCTGATGACAGTTCGCCACAAGCTCTCACCCGACCCGTAGTTTTAGAGTAGAGAGCTTGTATAAGGTTATTGTACTTCTTTGGTACACCTTTCAATGACAGACACTGCCACAGAACCTCACGATCCACTGAGTCAAATGCCGCTTTAAGGTCTAGGAAAACAACTATTGTAGGACGCCTAAATGTGTGTCTATGTTCCAGGACCTGTCTGAGTGTGAAGACGTGGTCTATACAGCCACGTCCAGGTCGAAAACCAGCCTGGCTTTCTCTAGTGTGCTCTTCACGAGCTTTCTTTAAGCGTCGGAGTATTATTTAGGCCAATATTCTCGATTGTATATTAGTTAGGCTGATTCCTCCGTGAGTGTCACAGGAAGAATTTTGTCCTTTCTTGAGGACTGGGACAAACAACGATTCAGACCAGTCAGATGGGATTACGTCTAGTCCCCAAATTATAACTAAGATCTCAGCCAATCTAACTGTTAAAACTGGAACGCCATTCTTAAAAACCTCAGGAGTAAGCCTATCAGGTCCCGCTGCTCTCCCTCGCTTTAGATTTCCTACAGCTTTCTCAACTTCGTAAAGACTAGGAGGACTTATATTCATTTGCCATTTTGGATGACAGGAGATCACGAGCAGCCGAAGTGTGGCTGAAGGCCAGTTAAACTGATCTCGAGTGCTCTGCCCGTCGGTCCGATCTCCTGGGTTGAGAATGAATCATAAACCCATCCTTTTCTGAGATAGTTTTGCTAACAGATGGGTTTATCATACCGGTTTCTTTGATAAATCAGAACAACTGTCTGTTGTTACCTATCGCCGCCGCTTTTGCTACCCACGAAGGTTCGCCATCATTGAATAGCCCTTTTATCAGCCTGCGCCTAAGCTGACTTCGCTCCTCATCATGTTCAGAGCCAGGTGCTATGAGTTTACGAGCGTTTTTCAGTTCGATGGATGCTACTGAAATCCACGGCTTCTCCCTAACCTTATGGCTTACCTTAGTAGCAGGTATCACTGCTGTTTCCACAGCTTTTTGGATATCATTCCAAGCTGCCTGAGAATGGGAATCGCCTACATGGCCGCTTATGAAATGTATTCTCAGCTTTATTATAGTTACGTTGAGCCGTAAGAAGTTTTTATTGTGACATTTTTCCTACGTCCAGTAAGACACAAACAAATATAAGCTCACACTAGAGTATGGTCTGAGTCTAAACAAGTGCTCCAGAATGAGCGGCAGTCTTCAACAATGCCTCTCCATCGATGACTTATAGCAATGTGATCTAGTCGGGTTTATCGCTGGGTTGGCTTCGGGGGTCTCCAGGTCAAAAGGTGTTTTACCCTATGCTTAAAGTTAGAATTTGCTAAGAATAGGAGATTATCTGAGCATATTTGTAGCAGACGGTCGCAATTATCTGTTTGATTAGCTGCGACACCATAGGATCCACCTTGGTGTCTTTCCTGCTCACTTAATCTACCTACTTGAGCATTAAAGTCACCAGATATTATTACTATGTCACTGCGCCTGACCTTTTGGAGGTCTAAAAGTTTCCTGTAAAACTCATCATTCAACTCGTTTGAATAGCAGTCAGTGGGAGCGCAGGCAGGTACAACGAAGAGGCAACGATGGGTGTCCCTATCTTTCCGAGTCCTTACTGTCCCGTTCAGTCGGACAACATACACACAGCGACTATCTACTGGGATCCAGACTAGGAGAGATAGTTCTGCCCTACGACTCAGTGCTATACCTACACCAGCAGGACTCCGGGAAGCAGCAGTAGGGCTACCGGATACACGAAGAGTATATCTAGTTGGTTTTTTATTTCGACAAGGTGAAATCAAATTAATGATTGTGCTAGGATCCTGTGTGGGCACTTCGGAGAAGCGGCATACATAGATGACACGAAATTCTAAAGTCCTAGCTAGGGAAGCCTGTTGCCCTATTTGACACAATGTCCGGAAATTAAATGCTCCAGCATGTAATTTTGAACGGAGTTTCAGGAGACTAGGAATAAAGTTTCGTGAACTCGCTTCGTTTGCATTAGCGGTGCAGCGTGATAACGGAATGTGAGAAGAGTTGGTCGTGGAGCTAAGAGAGATGTTAAGGGGTGTAGTAGGGATTCGTTTGTGGCCAGTTTGCTCTGGGTATGAGGGCGGATGTCAGTTCCTCGCTGCACACACCGTGGAAGGGTACTTCTTGAGTGACTTGACAAGGAAGGTATACTAGTGTTGGTCTAGGAGACCTGGGAGCGCGACCTCAGAGCCCAAGGGACAGCTGCTTGAGACCGGTCACGCACGGCCTTTTTTGAGTAGTATCTAAAGTGCAAGTTACGTTCATTGCAAAAGACCCTACAGCCGGAGACGGAAATCTGTGAGTTGTGATATTTTTAGGGTCGACCTCTTATAACCCCTTGCCTTATTGTGAGAAGGCAGCATCGCTGCATATCCTGGTTGTCCGAGGGAACCACCTTACTACTGTCACACCTCTCTACAGTAAGCAGTACGACTTCGCCCTCAGACCTTGAGTATCTGCTTTTAGTCTCATCGTTCCCATCTCGACCAGCCTGGAATGGAAGGACCCACCCAATATAGGTTGGTTGGGTCATCACGATAGGCAAGCCCGACCACCACGTCAAGGTAGCAGCTATGGTCGGACAAAGCAGTACAGCCTTCATGATACATTTTCATCCTCAACATTTACAACTCAACTTTAAATAAACTTTAATTTTTAAAGAATAAATTCTTTTTCATCAAAATCGAGTTACTTGTTTCTGAATGTTTAGTAAACATAATACTGATTACAAAGAAATTTCTATAGAAATATCTTGTTATTAATTAAAAGGTGATAACCAGGAAATGAACAAAATGAGTATACAAAAAGTGTTAATCAAATTATTAACTTTGCTGAGTGAGAATTCGATTAAAATAGTCGTTAGAGACGAAGATATAGGTGAATTTAATAGGACTTTGCTTAGAAATGGGTAAATTCATAATTAAGATATAAGTGAAACTGAATATATGTAACAGCTCTTGTTAACAAAAATGTTAGAACTTATAAAGATTTAAATTATCAGATTTGAAATTTAAATTAGCTTGGTGTGCAAGTTTTCTTAAAAATCCTTTATATTCTATGTAATACGAATGAATTAAAAGGAAGTGAGCATTTTGGGAAATAAAACAATAGTAATGATAACAATCTGTTTATTGATGTTACTAGTCGTATATGTTTCCATACATAATTCAATAAAGATACTTGAGGAATAGTTGTACAAGTAAAAACTAACAACAGTATTTAATTCTAAAATATAAAGATAAATAAGAATGTTTTCCAGCCGTCTACTTCTGAACGTTAAATACAAGCTAATGCATGTTAACTCATACTTTCTGCGGATATTTTTTCTGTCTTAACTATAATTTAAAATGTAGAAGAATCAAAACATTGTTACTTAATTCTTGACATCTTTTTTAAAACTCGATCAATTAATTCTCAGTTTAGAATTTGATAGGCATTACAATCTCAACTGAATATTTCATTTCCAATTAACGGCCTTAATAATTCATTGTATATTCAATCATTTTTTAGCAGTTCTGGATTCAAAGATCCATTCAGTTGGAATTTAGCAATCGATTACGTGAGTAAATTAGCACATTTGAACTTCAAACTTGGAAAGACAAGGGTATCGAAATGAAGCTGACTTACCACTGAAACAATTGTTCTCTACTAGATGTACAGGCATGGAAATATGATTAATTTTAAACTAATATAGTTGTAGAGCTAATTTAATAACGTTCATTAAGAATCAAACGAGTGGTAACGATCAGAAATCTGAAACTCTTACCTTTATGTCCACGCAAGTAGCTTCCAAATCTGGTGCACTTGTTTAGTTATATTCTGTTTATATTTAAGAATTCTATTCAGTTTGACTTCAGACTACTTTTTGAGCATTATAAACTAAAGGTCAAGCTGTTGGGACTTCATTGTTTTACTAAACACGTAATTCTAAGGGATTATACATGTTATTTAGGGGCAAAAATATAATATTATTACAATCCGTGTTTCAAAGTTAGTGGTTTCCACCAAGTAATTTCAACAGACTGAAACGAATGACACCTCATCAAGATAGTGAAGAAATTCGACTTCAACAAGTATGAGAACTAAAAAAACATCACTCTTCTCTCAATACCAGGCAAAGTCTTCAATAGGGTGTTGTTAGAAAGAATGAAGGACCCGTAGACACCCAACTTCGAGATCATCAGGCTGAAGTCCGTAAAGATCCATCAAGTACCCACCAAAATGCAATATTACGGATCATTGTAGAACAAGCAATTGAATGGGACTCACCACAATACATCAACTTCATTGATTACGAGAAAGCATTCGATAGAGTGAATAGGACAACACCATGGAGGCTCCTTCGCCACCACGGCGTGCCTGAGAAGATAGTCAACATCATACGGAGTTCCTGTGATGGATTCAACTGCAAAATCGTGCACGGAGGTCAGCTGACAGACTCTTTCGAGGTGAAGACCGGTGTCAGTCAAGGTTGCTTACTCTCACCCTTTCTCTTTCTCCTGGTCATCGACTGGATTATGAAGACGTCGACATCTGAAGGGAAGCACGGTATTCAATGGACAGCGAAGACGCAGCTGGACAATCTGGACTTCGCAGATGACTTGGCTCTTCTATTGCACACGCAAGAGAAGACGATTAGCGTAGTGACAGCAGTAGGTTTCAACATACACAAATTAGAAAGCAAGATTCTCCGATACAACACAACACGAAAGATGTCAAAACTTTTACATATCTGGAGAACATTACTGATGAGCAAGGTAGGTGTGATACAGATGTAAAGACATGGATTAACAAGGCAAGGGCAATATGTCTACAAATTTGGAAAACTTGCGAAGTCATTATCCGAAAGATACAAATATTTATCAACGGTTGTCTGCGCAAAATACTTCGGATCCGTTTGTCAGACATCATCATCAACAACCAACCGTGGGAGAGAACAAAATAGATTCTAGTTGCGGAAATTGGGAAGAGGAACTGAAATTGGATAGGAAACGCACTGAGAAAGGCACCCAACTGCATCACGAGGTAAATCCTAACTTGGAAACCTCAAGACTAAGGAACATATTACGCCAAAAAGTGGAAACGGACATGAAGAGAATGAACTGAAATAGAATAGAACTGGAAAGGAATTCCATGATAGAGCACGTTAGAAAATGCTGTTCGGCGGCCTTTCCTCTACTAGGGGTAACAGGAGTGATTGACCTATTAATATGATGCAGTATGTTAGAAAGAAAGTTAATCTTTTAAAATGTTCAAACTACCAGTTTTATAGCTCTCAAATGAATTATTTATGCACGGTTCTCTAATCATGCATCAGAATAATTCGATGAGTTTGTCGTAGTTTGATTCTTCAAATTTTCTTCAAAAATGAGGCAACCATGATTGGTAATGTTACTAACATTCATCAAATAACTTGAAAAAATGAACGGATTATTATTATGGTACATGAGCATGTGGTGGCAGAGCATACTGAGGCATAAAGCATCCCACAATTTTAGGAAATTTATTTCTACCCCATGAGTTCAGTAAAAGATAGATCGAAATTTTTAACAACGAACATCCATTAAATAAGTTGATAGCTAACACGCTTAGTAGATTTGTAGACAAAACTCTAATGTTTGTAAATAAGTTAGTTGGATTTGTGTACTAATAAAAATATTAGTACTAGAATGTATGTATACTCTCCTAATAAAGTTCTCACGGAAAGTTGATGAACAAGTTTCCAATCGTAATCTGGAAAATGTCGGATTTGTTAGTATTTATTTATACTTATAGAGTTTCGCAAGAGAACTTTTACATGGAAATGACTAAACTTTTACTCCAAAAAACGACTTACTCTCTCCAATTAAGAGACTACTACTCAGCTTAACTTATATTGTACAAATATTCTTACAAAATATTTTAGTAAAATAGGTGAGAAATATTATAGTCCACTGATTGACAGGGTTCTAAAATCTTCTAAAAATGTATGTAAATCGTTTGATTGTAAACCTTTCATCACTGTTTTTTTTAAAATAAGCGTATTTAACAAGTCAAATGTTAGCATTCGATCTCTTCTACTAATATAAATGTAAAATAAATTATTTTGAATACAATATACAGGTTATACTTTGTAACAGACTTTATATTTTAAAATCACTATCTCCTCTAATAATTTCAAGTGTTTTAGATGAATATTTCCTCTTATTACCCAGTTTTTTCTTCAAGCATTAAGAAAAAATGGATCAGTTCCTTAGAATATTTAATATCACGTGTCTTCTTTTGCGTCTTCCATGCTACTTCCACCACTTACATCTATCTACTTTTTTAACATTTTTGATAAATTACAATAGCTTCCAAACCTTCAACTACAACAAACTGGTAATCTTAATTATTTTTCAGTATTCCGATTCAGAATTCATGTCTTTAAAATTTATTTCTAAATGCAAGCCTCCATTTCTGCATACAACCTACCGTCATGTCTTACCGATTATGAACAGTAGGTTTACGATAAACAAATTGCTCGATTTTGAGCTAAATAAAATATCCTACTTATGTATCTGTTATGATTTGGATATCGTAATAAGTTTTAGTTTTATATTTTCCACTTTCATAAAAAGTTATATTTGTTCCAAAAAATTTTGATTAATTACAAATAAATTAGTGAACCGAAGAATAAAAGCCAATTTCTTCATTTCAAATCTCCTTCCGATACATTCAGGAAAATGTAAATGTTTAGTATTTTTCAGTCATAAAGTTTGACAATGAAGAATGTTAAAAACAATCATTGCGATCATTAAATTTTAGGTTTATACCTTAAGTTTTTATTTTTTGTATCGGATTGGATGGAAATTTAGGTTAGAAACATAAGTTAGCATTTATATGTATGCACATAGAGAAAGATACAAAAATCACCGGAATATTTTCACAAGCCAAATGAACACTAACATTTCCATTAAACAATTTATCTTGTTTTTTATGTGAAGATGAAATATATTTTTGCACAGAAATATCAATAAATTTTTGTCAAACTAAAGTATTTGAATCCATATTGTACTGTACAAAAAGTCTGTTTATTATTTTTTCTTGTAAAGGGTACTTCAGGTTATCTTATTGAATTTCTCACATTGTTACATAAGTTCCAATTGTTATAAAGTCCTGATGTTAGTTGTTTGATATACTTTTAGATTTCCAACTGCTTTACATCGCTCTCTTTCTAGAGAATCTTTTGAATACCCCCGCAAAAACCAATTGATAACTGGCAGTTCCAAACCTAGAATTTCCATTCCTTCAGAAAGAAACGATTTAGGAGCTTAATAATCTTATTATATTTTCTTTCCTGGTTTTTACATACTTTTTCATCCATTTATGATTCTCGGTCCAAACATACCATTAAAAATGGCAGTTAACAATATTTTATCAAATTTCCAGCTTCCATCTGTTCCCTCTCTTACTGCACTAATTTTTGATCGAGAATTTCATCACTTCCAATCAAACAAGTTACGCTAACGCAGTAATCCATTTGATTGATATTCGTTCTTTACATCAATAAAACGTGCACAGAAACATTTCCACAAATCGTTTCAGCTTTTATATTTTGAGTAATATGTTATATTTTGACAGTAATAAGGCCGAAATTGTCACTGTGGATTCGACAACCAAGTACGGAATATTCTCATGTGGAATCTTTATGTTAAAATTATGATAAGAATTATTTAAGACGACAGCAAGATACTTTCGCATGACATGATGCTAGTGTCCTGTCTCACGTAAATAGTTAAACATATCATCTATTATTTTCTTTAGGCCTTATCACCATTTTCGCCGATAGCTCTTCGAATCATCTATGATCACAATGAACATCATGCTGAGAAATGGATATACGTCTCCGAATGGTTATCACCTTGGTATTCAAGTATAATTTCTACAACTGAAAAAAAACGAGATAGATTTCCCGGGGTTTCAATCTTCTGTTGGTTAGCCCTCATTTCAAACTGGATTAATTATTTATCTCGATATGAATTATATCATACTTGTCTTGGTTACTCACGTCCTGAAACAACAGTCTTTTCTAAAGCATGCAGATTAACAGAGCCATTTGGTACGTGTTACACTTTTTCGCATTCTCTAACATGTGGTCAAATAAGTTTATTTGATGGATGGATATTATGGTTGAGTAGTTTATTGATGCAACAAATTACTAAATTCTCAGTTAAATTATTAGATTACATTAATAAAAAATATATTAAGTGTCTACCAGTATGTCGTTTATCTTCAACTTATAATCCACTTAATGGCTCTTCTACAGCTATATATGTCTTCACAGATGTTGATGAAATTTAATTTCCTAAAAGACATTGTTTAAAGTTATCCCTTTTTCGACATATATCTAATTTACAATATTTTACCTTCATATCATGAGGAAATGTAGGGTATTAAAATATTAAGATAACAAGTAACAGAATTCTCAGTACTATTTTTTTATACCATTCATATTCTTTTTTAATTGTTTTTACGGTATTAGTTAGCGTTCTTTTTATCAATGTTAAAAATAAAATCTTGTCTAAATGATAATATTTGATTTTAATGTGTCCAGTAGCCAGACGTCGTATTTTTAAAATGTTATATGGTTTAGAAGTTAATTTATGCACATCCTGACTTTTGCGTAGTTTAACCATATTATTTTATAACTTTAGTTTGAATTAGAACGGATAGTTCGACAATGGTTGAGCACTCAGTCTATGGAAATTGCGTTCAATAATATACCCTAAAGAATCTGCGACCAGTCTGCTGAGTGAAACGTTGGAATTGCTTGAGTCTTTGAGTTTTTACAAATTTAATTTCCTTCTTAACATCTAATCGTAGTATTAGTTTGAAAAGGGTCTACCCGTTCAAAGTACCAAATTCAATAATATGATCATACTTTAAGCAACTCGTCATATATATACCAGTTATTATGTAATTTCACAGGATATCATACTATGAAGAACATGCACGGCAATTTTGTATACATACAAAGTGGACGCATTAAATTGCTTTTATAGACTAATTCGTGTTCATCTACTTGATTGGAAGTTCGATTCCAAGTAACTTTGTGACACACTATGGATTGTAAAGGCAGTGAAACCTTGAGTATGACTAAGTGATTTATTAGTCGTAAACTAAACTGACTACCTGTCAATCAACTCCGAATATTAATGCATGTTTAACACGTGTGATCGAGAGGTTAATTGTATGTCCATCCATTTACTCACAATCTATGAGCTGATGAACAGATTTTAAAAGCGAAGTAAGAGACAGGATCGAACCAATTATGGTCTCATCAATACTGTGGATCCAGTAAAAGACGAAACAAAAAATTACCTAACAATCTTATTGATTTCAACACCATTTAGCCGATACTTTAGAATGTACACTAACATTCTACGTCAAATCAACCACCAAAAACCAATCTATTTATGGAATAGTTAGGAGGTATGAATAAGAAGCCAGCATGTTGATATATCTCACCAATGTGTGTTAATCATAATAAGAATATTGATGCTTTCAGATATAATCAGAGGTGCTACCTTCAAGGCACCAAGGTTACAAATGACATTATGGAAACTAAACCGATGAATTCCTAAACAAAATGAAGGCACTTCAAAAAAGCTTTCTTTACAACTATTTAATTTAGATGAACTATAAAATCACATTCCGTCTTACATGTGGTAGTCTACGATAGGACATGGAGGTATTGAACCATTCAACAAAGAATTTATGAATTAATGAAACTTCCAAATAACTGTCACATGACTACGCACTGCCACATAAATCGTCACTGCCTGCAGTCAGCAAAACATCAAGCTCAGAGGCTCGTGCAGCACGTTCCCAATTCAAAACAAACAATCACCTGCAAATCTACTACACGTTCGTAAGGTCAAAGTAGAAGGCATTATAGCAAACAAAATTTCCTCTGCCGAACTGTTTGAATCATTTGAAAAGAGATTGAACACAACGTCTGATTAAATTGAAATGGCTGGAAACTATATTTACCTTTCACTTCCGACTTTTTTTACTGAACATTTTATAAAGACGCAAATGAGTCCATAGGGTTAGGTTTATAAGGCACCAACTTTGAAATTTAGTTTTTCGACAATGCGTGGTGAAATAAGAAAGTAACTTCGACTGAGACAACTAGTTTAAATTGCTCAACACCTTTTGGCACAACAAAAATGCCTATGTGAACGAACTAAGAACAGTGTCGTCATCATCATCATCAGCAACGTAAAACTGCACGTAAGTATAGCAGTTCAGGTTGCCATACCACGTTAGCACAGAAACATAATTGTCGCTTCAAATCCCATATTAGTAGAGGTAATAGAAGTATTAGCAGTAATCGGAGAGATTAGGGTTAGAGAACGAATGATAAGGCATTTCATTTTCCGAGATAGTTTCACTCACATTCGGTTTCCCTGATAAGTTTGAATAGTTGCCTATCGCCATCGCCTTTTCCATCTCCCTTGCTTCCGCTAACCACCACTGTTCCCGATCATTGAGAAGGCTTTTTATCAGGATGCGCCTGATATAACTCCGATTCTCATCGTGCTCAGAGCCAGGATGGAAGAGCTTTCGGGCATCCATCAGTTCCGCAGATTCTACTGAAATCCACGGTTTCTCCCTAACCTTATGGTTTACCTTACTAGAAGATACCACTGTTGTCGCCACACTTTTTTATATCATTCCAAGCTGCCTCAAGGTGAGCATTACTTACTACATGGCTGCCAAACCGTTTTTCTAGTTGTTCCTGAAATATATTCTTAGCTTCATTAACATTAAGTAGAGCCCTAAGGAGTTTCCTTGCGTCCAGTAAGATGCAAACAAACACGCGCTCTCACTAAAGAATGGTCTGAGTCTAGAGAAGTGCTTCAGAATGAGCGGCAGTCTTCAACAGAGCCTTCCCACCGACGGCTTATAGCGATGCGATCTAGTTGGGTCGACTTTGGCACTCGCTAGGTCAAAAGATGTTTTACCTAATGCCGAAAGTTAGTGTTTGCTAGGAATAGGCGGTTATCTGAACATAACTGCAGCATACGATCGCCATTATCTGTTCTCTGAGTCGCGACACCATAAGATCCACCCAGGTGTCTTTCCCTTTCAGAGTCTACCCACTTGAGCATTAGAGTCACCAACCATCATTACCATATCAGAGTGCTTAACATTTTAGAGAAGTTTAAAGAGGTTTCTATAAAACTTGTCTTTTATGTAGTCCGAACTGCAGTCAGTGGGAACGTAGGCAGATACGACGAAGAGGCAACGGCGAGTGTCCCTATCCTTCCGAGTCCGTACCGTCCCGTTTAGTCGGACAGCACATAAGCGGCTGTCAATCGGGATCCAGTCTAAGAGAGCTAGTTCTAGCCTAGGACTTAATATTATACCTATGCCGGCTAAGCTTCCAGAAAAACGAAGTGTAAACCTTGTTGTCTCTATCTGCACTAGGTGAGATCAAATTAATGATTTTACTCGGATCTTGTATGCGCGTTTCTGAGACACAACATACACCGACTGCTAATGGAGCCTGTTGCCCTATTTGGCATAGGGTCCGAACATTAAAAGCTCCTATATGTAATTTAGTACGGGGTTTCAAGAGACCAGGAATAACGTTTCGAGAGCTCATACCGTCTGCTTCAGTGGCGTGAGGTGATAAACGATCGAAGGAAGGGTTGGTTGAGGAGATAAGAGAGTTATTAAGAGCTGTAGAAAGGATTTGATTGTGACCAGTTCGATCTCGTGTGCTTTTATGGGTATTAGGGCGGATGTTACTTCCCGGCTGCCCACAGCGCAGAAGAGCTATTCTTGAGGAAACTGAAAATGAAGGTAGACTAGTGTTGGTCTAGGAGACCTGGGAGCGTGACCGCACAGCCCAAGGGACAACTGCTTGAGGCCGGTCACACACGGCATTTTTATGAAAGGACTTTTTTAGTATTAGCTCCGCCATTTTAGAAGCACTTAGTGGCCACCCTTAAAGACGGAGACGGAAATCCGTGAGGTAGGGTGAGGTGTGACATTTTTAGGGTCGACCTTTTCTAACCCCTCCTTCCTTGTGAGAAGGCAGCATCGCTGCATATCCTGGTTGTCCGAGGAAAACACCTTATTGCTTGTCACACCACTCTGCAGTCAGTAGTACCACCTCGCCCTTCAGACTTTAGGTAGCTAGTCTCATCGTTCTCCAATCGACCTGCCTGGCATGGTAGGACCTTCAGGAACATATGTTCCAGCCAATGTAGTTTGGTTGGGTCATCACGACAGGCAAGCCCGACCACCACGTCAGGTAGCAGCTACGGCCGGGAAGAATAGTATCGACATAACTTTATGAAACCGCTGACCGACTACAAGACTTCAAACAAGAAACTCCCAGTAAGATTTCATAAGCTAAGTACTATTCATCTACTAAACAGGTCTTGAATATAATGTCGGTGAATGCATGTGTAACGTTCTGGTTAATTGAATGGAAATACAAGATAGTCTTAACAAAACCAGGTAGGGATTCTAGGCTACAGTCTGATGACAGATAACACCGACCTTTTATCAATTAAGACTTCGTCATTAGACACTATGCTGTATAGTAGGCATGAAAATAACAGCCGAAAAACAAAAACACACATATGAGGTATAAAATACGCCTTATTTGAAACAATGGTTTGCACCGTAAGTTACCAATAAATGATCATTGGTTGCGTTTGAAAAACTTCACATTATCACAAGGAGCACACGTGCAGGAAAATTAATGCTGACAATAGAAAATGAGTTCGCCAATAAGCACAACAAATGCTGCTAAGTTGTTAGTAGGATTTTTCCAACAAGCGAACAGTGGGACCACGATTGGATCATTTGTTTCTTTGAACGTGATCCAAATCACAGTCTAAAGTGCCAGTAAGTTGTGCATTTATAAGTGCCGACTGCTTCAGCCTTATTTTGAGATCTTGATACGAGGTAAGCGTGCAAATCCAGTACCTTCTGAGAGAAACCTTCATTCAAGGGGATTATTGAGAAGTGTCACTTGCACCTAACTTCTAACTACACCGGTGAGGTATAGATGTGGGTACGAAAAATGATAAGAGCAGTCTAATCAAGATGCAACATCTGTAAATGGAACCAACGACTTAGTCTGAGCCATGTTATAATAAAGGGTACTATTTCAGAGAAATGCGGAAACTGAAACTAATGAACATTATTGACTGACGCAGTAAAATCACTTACAAGTGGATCAACTCTCCTTCTAGATCTTCAGTTCGACTAGTCACTCATTTTTCTAATGAGTTCACCTCATTTCCAAACACATTCTCGATGTTTATTCCCTTCTCATCACTGCTAAAATACGATCCCGACCACATCACTATTTATCTCACAAGTAATGCTACGGTATGGCTACGTTCACCAACGCAGAATTGATTGTGATTGGTAATGCCGGGTGTAAAATCATAGCCCTAAATGTACCTAAGTGATACAACATGGTAGCTAATACGTTGGTACTAATCAGCAAAACTGAAGGTAGATTGCGGAATTCAACCTACTTTACTCAAGCTTATATTCAGAGTATGATGTGTAAAATGTTAAAATAGACCACTCTACTGAACATCTCAGAATGCGTAGGACGTAACTCGAGACAGTTCAGCACGGAACCGTAGATAATAGTCAATCCTATGCTTCAATGCCTTGACAAAATTTCAATTACAGATCAAGTCATTTTTCGATCGAAACATTTCAACAGTTAAAACGTTACATATAACCGCTCCATTCCAAATTATCGTAGTTCAGTGGAACGCACCGAATATAAATGAAGATTACACAATTATACCGATCGAAAGTAAGCATAAAACGACAGCCCAGTGGGTGGTATGAACGATCCAGCTTAATTGGAGTAAGGTTTTACATAAGCTTAAAAGTTATTAGTTAAAGTATTTCAGCTTTGAGCCCCTTTTTTCTCCGTTCACGGACGCTTTTACGTCGAATAAAATACATCTCTCAATAAACACTGCGACCGCTACTTTGATACTGAAGGTTCCCACTTTGTGATCGACTTTCGGATGTACCTCATGGACTAATCAAACATAGATCACGACAGGTGGATGAGAGCACTGAGGAATAGACCTTAGAAACTGGTATGACAAGGTTCTTTTTGATTATCTGCTATCGTTAACAGACAATAACAAACAATCGGATACTTTTAGAAACTGTTGAACTTATGCTTACTCAGAATGTATGATTACTAGGATAGTAAAAACACCCCCTTCTGGAGGTAAAGAATGGCTCAAACCCATCCTTATACAAGATAACAACGTAAAGCAAAGTTGATCGTAAACATTTTGTATAATTATCAAGTGTGAACTATGCCTCTCTTGTTTGGATGGGGAGCCTGAATTTCTCCACTAGATACTTCAATCCGTAAGATTCTTCCCCAATGTCAGTTACTACAATGCATGAGGCCGACACAACTTTTCTAGCCTTCCCTTCTTTGTCATACTTACACAATCCAGACCATTCACCAAGTCTTTTATTATCGGGAACCTGCATTTTCATATTTATGTGAAATAAGATTACCTTTACGAGAGGAATGCCATGTTCGTGACATAGTGCTTCAATTAAAGTGGTATAAGCCTTTTCATTGCAATTATCTGCTAGGAAGCAAAGAACGACAGCTCGTTGTTCAATCAATTTCGTGCACTCGTTTAGTCCACGACATATTCCCCGGCACTTAGCAGCATTTTTCAGGACTTGCTGTACAGCACCATCTAAATCCATTTCGGTGGCCAACATGCTTCTGAAATTCGAGGGAACAATCAAAAGTATTACAACCCAAACTAAAAACCTACAGTTAACGACAATCACGTTCTAACAGTACCAAATTTCGCACCACTGAGTAATTAAAACAAAGAGAGGTCGATAGAGCCCATAATAACCAAATGTACTTTCGGCCCTTCTTCTTTACTTTTAAAAAGCAGCTAAACTGATTTATGATTTTTTCTACGGAATAATTAAAATCATTGTTGACTAATCATTTAATATTCAAATAAAAAACTGATTTGGTTGTAAACTTATGAGGTAATGAATGACACGGTAGGCCAGTTGTTCAAACTTTCAGTAAGCAATATCAGTCTCCTTCTTAGATTTGGGAATAGCATGGTTAATTTTTTGTCCCGTAAATAATGTGATCCTGTTGAATAATTTTTGAGGTTGAATATTAACATCCTTCGAAATGAAGATTACTTACATAATAACTTTCGCCTGTTGCCCCCAATGGAGCATAGGCCGCCGATCAGCTTTCTTCAGCCAACTCTGTCCTGGGCTTCCGTCTCCAGTTCTGTCCAATGTTTGTTCATTCTTCTCATATCTTTCTCTATTTCTCGGCATAATGTGTTCCTTGGCCTTCCTCTTTTCCTTTTGCCTTGAGGGTTCCATGTGAGGGCTTGTCTCGTGACGCAGTTAGGTGCTTTTCGTAGTGTGTGTCCTTTCCAGTTCCACCGTTCCTTCCTGATTTCCTCCTCCACTGGAATCAGGTTGGTTCTTTCCCACAGTAGATTGTTGCTGATCGCGTCTAGCCATCATGTCTGAAGTATTTTGAGTTGACAACTGCTAATAAACACTGGTATCTTCTGGATGATGGCTTTCGTAGTTCTCTAAGTTTCCGCCCTATACAGTGGAACTGTCTTGACATTTGTATTGAGAATCCTGATTTTGGTTTTGTTTGAAAATTGTTTGGAGTTCCAGATATTTTTCAACTGTAGAAATGTAGCCCTTGCTTTGCCAATCCGCCCCCTCACATCTGCATCGGATCCACCTTGGTTGTCGATGATGCTGCCCAGATATGTAAAGGTGTTAACGTCCTCCAAACCATCTCCATCAAGAGTGATTTGGTTGGTGCATGTTGTATTGCATCGGAGAATTTCGCTTTTCCTTTATTTATGTTGAGACCTGCTGCTGCAGAGGCTGCTGCTACACTGGTCGTCTCTTCCTGCATCTGTCGTTGCGTGTGCGATAGAAGAGCCAGGTCATCTGCGAAGTCCAGATCGTCCAGCTGCGTCCTAGCTGTCCACTGAATACCGTGCTTCCCTTCAGATGTCGACGTCTTCATAATCCAGTCGATCACCAGGAGAAAGAGAAAGGGTGAGAGTAAGCAACCTTGCCTGACACCGGTCTTCACCTCGAAAGAGTCTGTTAGCTGTCCTCCGTGCACGATTTTGCAGTTGAATCCATCATAAGAATTCCGTATGATGTTATCTATTTTCTCAGGCACACCATAGTGTCGAAGAAGCCTCCACATGTTGTTTCCCTATTCACTCTATCGAATGCTTTCTCGTAATCAATGAAGTTGATGTATAGTGGTGAGTTCCATTCAATTGCTTGTTCTACAATGATCCGTAATGTAGCGATTCGGTCAGTACACTATCGATCCTTCCGAAATCCGGCCTGTTGATTTCGAAGTTGGGCGTCTACGAAGTCCTTCATTCTGTTTAACATTACCCTGTTGAAGACTTTGCCTGGTATTGAAAGAAGAGTGATGCCTCTGTAGTTCCCACACTTGCTGAGATCACCTTTCTTTGGAATTTTGATCAGGTATCCTTCTTTCCAATCTGATGGTACTTGTTCCTCATCCCAAATCTTCTTGAAGAGGATATGAAATATTTTTGTCGTTGCTTCAGCATCTGCTGTCACTGCCTTTGCTGGAATGTTGTCTGATCCTGCTGCTTTGCCGCTCTTGATTTGTCTGATGGCCATACTCTTCAATCGTAGGTGCGCCAATATTAATTGGGAAGTCCGTGGATGCTGCTTCGATGTTGGGTGTGTTCAGTAGAAATGGTCGATCCAAGAGTTCCTTAAAGTGCTCTACCCACCTATTTCGCTGTTGTTCAGTGTTGCTGATTACTTTGCCTTCCTTGCTTTTCACTGGTCGTTCTGTTTTACGATAGTTCCCGGTGAGCTTCTTCGTTGTTTCGTACAATTGTCTCATGTTTCCTTCTCTTGCAGCCTTTTCCGCCGTCATTGCTAGATCTTCCACATATTTTCGTTCGTCAGCTCTGATGCTCTTCTTCACTTCCCTGTTTGCTTCTGTGTATGCAGCTTGTGCGTTAAGGTTCTCTGCTCTTGTTCAGATGACATTCACTGCTGCCTTCTTGTTCCTCCTTTCTTCAATTTTTTCAGGAGTACAAACGGAGATCCATCCATTGTGATGGTACTTCTTGTGACTCAGAACTTCGTGACATATTGAAGTGATTGCCTCTTTAATCCCTTTCCAATTGTTCTCCAATGTTGCTTCCTCTCCATTGAGTATATCGTGCAAGGCCTGGAACCTATTGGTGAGGGTTATTTTGAATTCGTTGAGTTTTACGGTATCCCGAAGAAAGGCCGTATTAAACTTGTGTGATGCTGTCTGCCCCGTCGTCCAGTGTTTCTTGAGTTTCAGTTTTATTTTGGCAATTAGCAAGTGGTGATCTGAGGCTATATCAGCTCCTCTCCTGATTCTCACTTCCTCCATCGTCCTTCTGAACGTTTTGTTGATACAGATATGATCAATTTGATTTTCAGTAGTGTGGTCCGGTGAAATCCATGTGGCATTGTGTATGCGTTTGTGCGGGAATATTGTGCCACCGATGACCAGTTTGTTGAAGGCACATAGGTCTGCAAATCTCTCACCGTTTTCCTTCCTTTCTCCCAGTGCATGTCGTCCCATGATGTTTTCATATCCAGGGTTGTTCATTCCAACCTTGGCATTCAGGTCTCCCATAAGAATTGTCAAATCCTTTGGTGAACATTTCTCGACGATTGACTGCGGCCTTCCGTATAATTGATCTTTAACGTCGTCATTGTAGTCATGTATAGGTGCATAACATTGGATGACGTTCATTGTAATGTCCTCTTTCTTTGTTTTGAAGGATGCTTTAATGATCCTGGGTCCATGAGATTCCCATCTTATCAGTGCCTTTTGTGCATGTTTGGACAGCATCAGTGCGACTCTTTGTGCACGTGAAGCATTTTCCTCTTCATGATCAGAGTTTTACAGCAGTTTCCCTGAAACTAGTCTCAGTTGTCCTACTGTGGTGTTTGGATGAACTAGTGAATTGTTGTTTGTTGAATGCCTGATTTCGAATCCTAAATACAGTACGTTCTTCCATGCTTATCTAGTAGTTCTTGATCTACTTACGTTATTTCTGGGATTATTAGTTCATGCTATAATTCAAATGCTTCTAATTATGATACCTACCTGTGTCCAATGCGTTTCACTGATGCCGAGCACCTCGAGGTTGTATCTTTTCATTTCTGCCGCAACTTGAAATAGTTTTCCAGTCTCTCACAATGTACGAACGTTCCATGTACCTAAAAGAATGGTTGCTCTGGTTGTCAGAAGAAGCATCGGCCCAGTGACTTCCGAGGGAAATCGGCTTTCATCACGCGACGTCATAATTCTTCTTCCAACTCTCAGGACAGAGTTAAAATGGTTTGAATTATTTCCTCTTGTTAGCATTTGTTTGGCAAGTTAGTTTATAGTTGGGATAGGGGCATCAAACCTATGTCCAACCCTTCCTCATTTATCCGGGATTGAGACCGGCAGTAGCCCCGCAGGGATTATATGTGCAGTTTCCAAATGAAGATAGCAGTTTTTTTCTTCCGTGAGAAAGAACTAGCAGAAGACTAGTTATGTAGGCCCGTTTACTTAGCCCATACATAGCACTGTTTATTTTAATTTGCTTATAGATTTGAATGGTAGTAAGAAATTGATGGTCATATGCAGATCAAATATGACTTCAGCTTCCGAGAAAGAATTAGAAAAGACTTCTTCGCTCTAAACGCTATTCATGTTGGTAATAATAATAATTATCATTGTAAAATAACGGTTTGTTACATGAGGCATACCGAGTTACTGGAATTTTGCGACAAGTGATTCCAAAGTGGGTAGGCACACAGCGGGGTTCTTGGATAGTGTACATTATTTCGCAGTGAATTTGTTGGAAAGTGTCAACTGTAATTCGCTTAGAATAATCATAACCTTGAAAACTGCGTACTCAAAGTGCATTTTGAGTAGAGTAAGCATGGTTGCTCACTGTAGAGAGTTCTAAGCACGGACAAAAGGAAAAAGAAGAATTATTTGACCATTCATGGTGGCACTGAGAAAGCAGTTGCAATTCAAGATAAAATTCAGACGGACAACTTAACTTAAAATCAATTGTGGTTATGTGGCCTTCAAGTCAGGGAGCACGGCAGTGCATAATAATGGGTTGTGATTTATGTCAAGGTAGATAGAAGCGAAGTTGAAGTAAGCAGATAAGTGTCCGTTTATTGGGGCCGAAAATTCAGGAAGAAGATTAAAGTTTATGAAAAGCATTGACAATTATATTGTTCACTGTCTATCGTTTTTTCCGTCAAATGCCAACCTTCAGATCATGACTGAGTAAGCATGTTGTAGATTGTTTTGTCAGAATAGCGATGGAGACATATAATTGGAAACACGAGTCTCAGAAGTGACGGGAGAATAAGAGCGATCTCATCATCACTGATTAGTCGACCTATCAGTCCGAAAAAGCCAGAAACAAACCAAAGGTTTTGCATCACAAACATGGGTGTATTAAAGTTATCAAACTAACCATCAGTGTTTGCTGGTCAATAACTTCATCTTCCAACATTTCGTGATATTTAGCTTGTTTAAAATGACTGTAAGACAATATTTTATGTTCTGCTCAAGGCTCCATATTCCACATCCTGTCAAGACACGGTATTTCTACACGTTCCACTTTTAGACCTTGTCTGGTCGTGAAAACCTATGATCTATGGTTTAGACATCAACTCAATACAGTTAACTGTTAAGGAGAAAAGAGTATAGATTTTCAAACAAACTATGGACATTTAGAATGTAGTGGCGGAAATATGTTCAACGAAGTAAGTGGGAAAGTGTAGTAGTAGTAGCAGTAGTGGTAGTAGTAGTAGTAGTATTAGTAGTAGTAGTTGTTGTTGTTGTAGTATAGTTATAAATGTGGCAACAAATAACTTGATGGAATCAAAGGTAAGTCGATATAGTTTATGTGAGAACAGTAAAACTGATGATACGTAATATGACATTCACAAAATTATGGGTGTTGACATAGTTTTGTCCAGTCAAAACGGATGCTGGCTTTTAAGGTTTTGGATTCATGATCAATAGAGGTTAAACAGCAGATTGTGGTGTTTGAACGATAACTCTCAAGATGAGTGGAAGGTGTTCATATCAGCCAGATAGAGTTGAAGTGTATCGATAGACCCAGTAAGTAACCGATCTGTCTCAAGTAAAACCCGAAGATACTTGCAGCCAACTAGAAAAATTTAATACTGTGCGAGTTGGTTCACAAGTGCAAAGCAACGAGGGCTTCATTAAGAAGCTTTACAAAAGGCTGTTCCAAATCAGCGCATACATAGTGAGGGAGTATTTCTCACGATTTTTTGATTTATCCTTCTAAAGTTTCAACCGCAGATACTTTATCTCGAAGAAAATGTAAACATAGGCCTAGAATAAGGGCTATACTACAAGTGAAGTATATACTTTTCTGCAAGAGCTTGAAGTCAATTATTAGGTTGGACTTGAGCATTCTTTTTCACAGTGGTTCAAGTCCTAATTCCTAATATCGGATGGGAATCTCCCTGACCTGTAAACAAATTGTCAGTCAAGTGGCAATAATGAAGCGTTTGCATCTCCAGAGACGGGTTTGTTATTTGGATATCAGGGATATTCGAAGTTTGACAAGGCTTTTGCCCGTAACACACTTCACATAGTGATGGCCATGGGCTGTTTAACGATTGGATAAACTCTAGCTCTATCATGTGGTTGAATTAGCTCTTTACAAGTCTAAGATTTACGGGAGCCAGTCGCCGAACTTTTCAGTATACAGGTCGTCCTGTAGCCGTGATTTGGCATGTGACGTTACTGGTTACTTGTAGTACTAGTGGTCGTGCTTCATACAATTCAAGGTTCTGGTCGAGTATTGGTTGAAAGAACGCGTCGATAGAATGATTAACAGTGACTGTGTGCAATATACAAGCACAGAATGAAACTTCACAAACAGATAATTCAGTATTACACTCCACTCATATTCCTTCACTTGGGTCGACGAGTATGTTGTGGTGTTGCAGCCAGTCAATAACATTGATTAGAATTGTCTCCTCTGCCACTGTGGAAATCCAGTGTATGAGTTTGCGTTAACCCGTGTCGACGTAAACAGATCTTAACGTCAATTTCAATAGATTTAATGTCTGTCACCTGTAGATTAAAAACAAGATCATGCAAATGATAACGTGATACTCTGGCATGACTGTGTGTAACTTAAGTCATTCCAGTTTACAAATGCTTACAGATTTCCTGTAATAAGCAGCTTACTTATATTGATATTTCACAGGACACACTGGTCGCAGTCACAAGAGAATACACTTTTTTACGCAAAATTATGGATAACTTTTAGGGTCGTCACTAGGTATGCTTGAAACTATTACAGGTTCACCTTAGTTGATAAATGAGAACGAGACAATGAACCAGCATCCAGGTGGGCTACTCTGATACCTTGACCCAAAACAGCTAACGAGAAGTCTTGATATAGCGTAGAAAGTGTATTCTACAAACACCCAATCAATTCAAGCACACAAATCGTGTTTATTTACACATCATAGAAACATCCTTGAGACGGTCACAAAAATAGTGCACTAAAATACACAGTAACCAATAACAACCAAGGATTTTTCTGCGGGAAATAAGATTTCAATGTTAACTGATCAGTCTATGCTCGGAAACATAAAATCCAAAATTAGGGCATTTATCAAGCAAGTTCCGAGGGTCTAAGGTCCTCAAGAATAAGGTCACTTAAACTAGAATGTGTATGAAAGTCCTCATATTTAATAAAGGTTAAGTGCAAACGATCGACCAACTGTCGCGACTTGTTATCAGTAGGTCCAAAACTGTTTGTACGCAGCTAGTCTAGCAGCCTGGTTTTAAAAGCTAGATCTTGGTTGTGTAGTGGAACGCTTCTACGAAGAAAATACGATTTGTGAAAAATAAACATAATTGTACTCCTTTTGTTTGACTGTACCAAAAACACTTCTTGCTCTCAACGTTCTTTTAACGTTGCTATCATTTTACCAAACGCGCTGCTCCCCATGTAATGCCAACGTTCTCCTTCAATAAAATACTCAAACATGGATTTTTTTTTTATATATATGGTGGGATAGTATGGAACATTTAGTGGTAACCATAGTCAGTCAGGTATCCCTCACCACTAAATTTGTAACAGTCTACGTTGAATGGTTTGAAGGTGGTCTGAATTCTCCCTAAGATCATAATATAATAGTAATTATTAATTGATTTATTTTTTGAGGATAGCATTTTTCATATTTTTACACTAAGTATTGAGACGTTCGATAACTTAATCAATGTTACGTCTACAGAGTAGGTTGTTATTAATCAATGGAGTCTCGTATGAAAACTCGTGTGGTTTTCAGATTAAAGAAGCTTGTTTAAACTTACATTAAATGGAATCTTACTTCCACATTTTGGAGTTCCTATTACTTATATTATTATATAACTTCTAGAAATGCACTTAATTACACTTGTCTGGTAATATCATGGGTTGCTTTACTCTAATCAGGCTATAAGTGATGCACTAAATGGTTTTCAGGTGAGTCTTGTGCATCTTGAAGTCAACTACCGTAGACTTTCGTCTAAACGTTGACCACTTGTTCCCACATCACCTACATCTCAAACAAAGTCATCCACCGACGACGGCGTTCGGAAGTTCTTTAGCCAGGTAAAATAGATCCAGCCGTACAAAGGATTTTCGAATAAAGAAAACTGGAGGCCGAATGATATGATTTACTGTGCATAACTTGAAGGATAAATGAACATAGATAACTGCAAGCATTATATTTTCATTTTAGTTTTGTCAGCCTCTAGATAAAATAGGCAAATTCTCACTCTGTGCGATGGCAATTAAAAGGGCTATTTTGTAACTCCTGTATATAAAATGCGAATAATCAGGCAATTTTAGTTAACTTAGTAAAAATTCAATGCGTTAAAAATTTATTAAAACTAATACTAGTCGTCAAGTACTTTCTTCAGGTAGATTGTCATCCGTTCGATAGATGGATGCATTGTGTGACGTTGCTCAGCAGAACTAGTGATAGTAAGAATGCAGAAAACCAACGACCATTAACACCGTAAACTCTCTATGCTAATATGGAAAGCTACTTGTTCAAATTTATATTCTTGTAAATGATGAAAACCAACTTCAACATCAAGATAATGAAAAAAATAGTCAGAATCAATGAAACCATAAAACCATAGTTCGCATAACTGTTGGAAACACTTTCTACTAGAACACCAAAGTCATAACACAACTGTAAAAGATTGAAACAGAGCAGTATGCATCAAAGCATATGGAGATACGAGAGATGGCACTCCTTGTGTCGCTATTTTAACAGCATAACGTGCTGCGCTGGTGAAATATAATTCTAGCATTGTTTAGATACCTTGTTATCAACCTAATAAGACCCACTTAAGGAGTTTTAATATCTATTGAACAACGAGTACACCTAATAGGCACTTTTATGATTCATACATACAGGAAAAAGGTGAATTTTGAGTAATTTAGGCGAAAATAAATAACCTCTGATCTAGATGCAGTAATATTTTTACTTCACTAAGCGTGTGGCCTAGAATCCACACGCGCTATGTTTGTAATTTATCGAAAAGTGCCTCTTTGGGGTTATAATTATTTCATAAAATAAGATGCTTTGTTGCATTTCAAACGCTCCAGAAACTGTAAGATTCGCTTTTACTTATTTCTGAAACTTTAGAGACGAATAAAAATCGATCGATATTCTATAGGTAATCCAATAAACTTTCGACACGTTGCACACATGGGAAGCTCGGAAGTTTCTGAGGACAGTGTAAGTTTACTAAAAAATTAATCGATGAATATCTATTTATTTGCTGTTTCGCCTCATAAGCCTACATATGCGTGTTATCGTGTGCAAGCCACAAAGCTCAGACTGTTTAACTTATATGTGCTGTCTTAATTTACCTGAATTATCGTTACTTGGTTTTTTTAATTCAACAGTTTAAAACCCCTATAAGTTTAATTAGGCTGGTACAAATGACATAACAGATCCTTAATAAGTATGTATAACCCGGATATGATATTAAAGAAATAACGTCCCTCTAGTTCTTGGTCACTCGCAAAATGTATGTGCCTTATAAGCCTGTATTTTTACTAATCAAGAAACTTATTTCATGGCGATTCCCATAGAATACTTTGTAAAGAAAGCGGGGTCCCGTAATCGTTTTTATTTTGTAACTACAAAATCCGATAGACCTTTGAAACGCCACCAAACATGAATTTCTCATTGTTTTGTCCTCAGTCCATACTGGATCATGACGAGAAACTTTCCACTGATATCCATCAATGTGAAGCATTTGAAATTTGCGTGGATTGGTCCGTCTATTCGAATTCATGATGGATGTAGACGTGTAGTAATTTCCTGGGAGCCTAATTTTGGTCTCGAATTAATGTAGGTTGAATATCATTCGCACTACAAATAAAGGAGGGTATAATATGCAAATTCTCAAACCCATAGAATCCAGATGAAAACCTTGTTATCCGTAGATATATGTATAATAAATGGCTTTTCTTAACCAAGGAAAAACCAAACAGTCAGATTATTTGTTTTCTTACCGCAGTCAGGGATCGGAGCTGCAATCTATTGAGCATGTTAAAACACAAGCCTGTGGTTTTAGCGAATCAATACTGAACATGTTGGAGTTTTAGGTGGCTTCGACTGTTTTCCGTTGATTCGAGATTGCTAGATATCCATAATAAGTAAGAAACGACACAATATTAATAATGCTCTTTAGAAATGCATTATACAATACCTTAGTTGGCAAACTATGCCTTTTCGCCTGTCTTACCAAAGGAAATTCTCGGTATGCTTTGAGCTACTCATACTTTTTATCTTTATAACTAAATATACAAATTTTTAAAAATTTTACTGATGATAAGTAGTTGGCGCAGAAACTAGTCCTTATTCATTTAGAATACCTAACCAAAACCAACGAAATTTCAGTCACAAAATCAATAACGGGACAATCCAAACCATTTCAAATTGAATTCATAACTTATCGTAGTAATGATGCTTGTAATGTAAACGTAATACTTTACAAACATTTGTTTCTAAGTCTAATTCCAAATAAGCTATACATTTTGTGAATGTCTTCTACTCTTGGTACATTATCTTACACATTTAAATATACACTTTGTCTTTTCCTTGAAGGTATGCAATGCTTTTGGTCACCTCGGCCATCAATCTTTACCAGTGCACTTAAAATTGATCGATTTACCTAACCTGTCAAGTAACAACAATACTCCATTATTATCTGATCATGAAGCCCCTCCAAGCTTATGTATCAGTTCTACAGTTTCACCTACTTTTACTACTCAATCACCAGTCTTAGCAACTACATCAAACTCAACTAAAAGAATCTCTCTTTTGGATCCTAATTCTGTGTTACCTGAATCTGTTAAAACATCCCATGTTGTTATGCGCCACTCAACCCACCTGGGCAACCTGAAGCCAGAATCACCATGTCTAGATCTCAGTTTACCTTTGCCCCCACCACCTCCACCTCCTATTAATCCTATCAGTCTTCGTTCTATATTACAGTTATCTGAATAAGTGGAATATCTGTCAAAAATTAGTCGTATTTCCCTTATTTTATTCAGTGTATCCTCTTATTTGAAGCATAATTTCCACTGTCGTTTGTTGAAGCTATTTGTTTCTCGTTATTTGATTAAGAACACCAGGTTAGTTTCTTTTAACGATAAATTATAATGCTCATTTTTAAAATTATGTTAGGCATTTTTATTATTACTTGCAAATTTCATAGATTATACAAGACATATATATTCACCGAATTAATTAACATGAATATTTATAAGTTATTAGCTTTTCTCATTGTTATTTTGAGTACAATTTAAATGTTACATATTCGAAATATGCATACTGTTACTTTTTCTGCACTCAAGATAATTCATCAAATTCTTTAAAACTCTCATCATCATCAACAGCATCGTAGAACTTTGCCATACCACATTAGCACAGAGATATAATTGTCAATTCAAATCCCATAGTAGTAGAGGTAGTAAAAGTATTAGGAGTTATCGGAGAGATTAGGGTTCGAAGATGTTATTCAAGAAGTATAATTCAGTGAGGTAAATTTAGAAAAAGAGAGGTGATGTCGGAAATTGTTTTATTCTCTCATCTTTCATTTGTAGCCTCTCCAGTCCCAATTTTATGAATTCCCCATAACTTTTTCTCCAAACAAAAATCCATTTAAATGGTTTGTCTTTCTTCCGATCTTCGATTCCCAATCTTTTCGTTACCTCTAACACTTCTACTACCTCTACCACGATGGATATTGTACAATAGTTATCAATTCTCTCATTTTTATTTCATTCTGTCATTGGTTTTTCATTCTTCTTAAATCAATTAATGTTATCTTTGGTGCTGTCAAAAGTGTGTGAATGGTTACCCAAACTTCGGGAGGTATCTACGAAGAGAATCGTGCTAGTAGTGATCCTGGTGATCAAGGATCGTTACTTCGGAAGCAAAACGATAGTTGCTTAAAGTCAGTTACGCAATTACCCCCCAAAAGACGATTGTTGTTGTTGGAACATAGACCATTTCACACCAAATTCATTTCGATTAAAACCTGACTTTTAATTGGTTGATTCTCTGGTGGTATTATTAAGGTGATTAAGACGTTCATTTCTTCCAGTTAAACGTCCCTGGGAAACCGGCTAGACAAATGAGATTGAAATTAGCAGTTTTTGTAGTATAAAGAGCATCACTTTAGAATCACTCGAGAAATCTTGACTGGAAAATTCTAGAATATACTTGTTGAAGGTTTCTTCTGTTGGGTCAGTTTTTTATTTTTGATAAATCTAGCTATGGGACCTTATCTTTTAGTGAAAAGTGAATGTAGTACTCTAATAAAACACTAATCATAAGTCATTTGTGGATTAATGTTTTCATCAATTTCACCTATTTGCCAGGTAAGTGCTCGTATACTTGGTTCCGAACCATGCTCTAAGTTTGACTGTTAGTGATACTATCTGGTTGCTTAGCCCGAAGTAGGTAGAACAGGGCTCAAGCCTACAACTTAGTGACCAAATCCAAACTCACTGGACCGCCAATTCACTGCTGCACTCATTATTGATTTTATGTATCCACTGGATGTTCCATTTTCTGATTTAAAAAAGTGAAAAAATACTTTTTACTTACTTTAAAGCTTGATATAAGATTTGAAATTTATTTAATAGGAGACTTAACTGTTGGGTTAACTAACTGGAATTGATAATTTAACGACTACCTGGAAAGGCGACAGTTAATGAATAAAATCGGAATAAGAAAAGTAGGTAATTCAAAGTTTAATCCTACTAATCTTGAAATAAATAAACGAATGAGTATGGAGAACGCATTTATAACCAAGTTTCTTCATTTATCTTCTTGTTTGCTTGACTTTTACAGTGAACCAATTAAATTATATTGCCTTTTATTTCTATATATCATTATTTACTCACGATTATTATTATTATTATTGTTATTTTAGATTACAAATGATTTAAAAATTTTCCTGTCAGTAGCGTCATTCAGTCTTCATATTCTATCTGTCGCCGCCTAACTAAATACCTTATCCATATCATTTCTTCTACTGCTGCTGCCTACTGGACGAGCGCATTTAACAGTTAGTTAGCTTTTGTTTGGTGTATTCCTCTTCTCTCTATCTTTGTATCTATCATGAAATAAACGACAACTAATAATTATTAACCTGCGATTTTTTCCGCACGAATCATCATCCCGATTTTTTTTTGCTTACTGTTTTTGTATTTTAACTTCTATTTTCACCACTGCGACACGTATATACACATTTACATACACTCATACACACTTAGCACATATTGTTTATATCAGTAAATGACTATTAACAAGTAATCATTGTAACACTTTATCATATGCTCCTATGTTGTTGTTTCATTTTTCACTTTAGCTACTTCCGATTAATTGTGCTTTTTAGTGCAATAGTTTATTGTTTTATGTTTGTAAATATACATAGCCTCATGTGTACTTTTTCACTCTCAACTGTTGTTATTTGTTTTGCATTGTTTGTCATTTCTTGTTTTTGGTTCAATGTCGTAAGAAAAGAAGTGAAAATGTACTCCCAAATTTTATTCATTGGTTTCTCGTTTAGCTTTTGTTTTGATATGATAATAACAATCATGATGTGTAGAATTGTTTTCTGACGAATTATTTCTTCACATGAAATAAAAATCATTTACATACCTAGTTTCCTAGGTTTGTTTTTTTCCGTGTGCTACAATAAAAAATAAACAAAAATGTATTGTGATCGATGGTATGGTATATACCATACCATTTGTATGTACGTTTAGACTCTCTTGACTTGGTTAAAATCCATCATAGTTATTATTTTTATGTGCTTTGTACGTTTCTTAAAGAAAACAATAAATATGGTTAAAATATCTTGATCTATGTTTGTTGTAACATTAGATGTAGAGTAACAGTAAGCAACTGGTACTAGGAATCCAACTGTTAGCAATCCTATTTAGAAAAAGATGGGCTTATTATTCATTCTCAATCCAGGAGTTTGGATTGATGGGCAGAACACTGTAGGGATCAATTGAACTGGCCTTCAGCCAAACTTTGGTTACACACAATCTCTAGTCAACCTGAATGGCGAATTGATGTAAGTCCTCTGACTGTTAATGAGGTTGAAAAGGCTATGGGAAATCTAAGGCGAGGGAGAGCAGCAAATCTGGACAGGCTTACTCCTGAGATTTATAAGGATGGTGGTCCAGTTAGATTGACTGAGATCATAAGTAGAATTCGGGAACTGGACACAAGCCCATACGAATGGTCTCAATCTCTGACTGTCCCGATTTACAAGAAAGGACAAAAGTCCTCTTGTAACAATCACAGAGGAATCAGTGCAACTAATATAGTGTCTGAATTGTTAGCCTCGATAATACTTATACACCTAACTAGTGCTCGTGAAGGACAGACTTGAGAAAACCAGGCTGGTTTTCGACCTGGACGTGGCTGTATAGACTAGATATTGCACTACATCATGTTCTACAGCATAAACACACTTTCAGACGTCCTACAATAGTAGTATTTCTCGACCTTAAGGCGGCATTCGATTCTGTCAATTGTGAGGTTCTCTGGCGTTGTCTGTCACTGAAAGTAATAGCAGAGAACTACATTAACGTTATACAAGCTCTCTAATCGAACACTACTGATTGAGTGATCGCTAGTGGGACACTGTCATCGAATTAGATTACTTCGAGTGGAGTTCGTCATGGCTGTCCACTTTCTCTATACCTGTCTAACTTTGACATTGACATGCTTTCAAAGTTGACACTTTAACCATCTGACTTTTCAGGGGCTTGTTGACGTAGAATATGCCGATGATATAGTTGGTGAAGGTGCTGACAAAATTCAGTCTTTTGACTACCCTAAGCAATAGTGCAAGCATGTTCGGGATGCGGTTTTCCCGCTCGAAATGCAAGATGTTTCTTCAGGATCGGTTTGCGTAGGCACCTGCACCAGCGATAGAGAGTAAAGTAGTTGAATGTGTTGTGTGCTTCATTTATCTTGTGAGTCTCATCAGTGCTGATGGCCTGGTGACTGACGAAATCTCAGCACAAATGCAGAAGGTTTCGACTGTCTTTCGCCTGCTTTCATCACTTGTGGCGTGGATGAGATATCTGTTGTTAATTAAAGGACGTGATTACTGCTGATCAGTTTGCTCCGTCCTTCTATATGGTCATGAAACATGACCAGTAAGAGTGGAGGATATTCATAAGTTACTAGAGTTCTATCATAAGTGTCTTCGAAGCATTGCTCATGCATTTTGAAACCGAATTATTTGTTGTTATAAAATTAACGTCATAGTAGTGTAGTGACAACAGAACATATTCAGTTATGATCAATACATATTCCTGGTCTCATTTCAAAAATGATTCCATTTATATGCAAGAGCTTTTCTTTTTTGCTAAGTTACTGAATTGATTACGTGTTATTTTCAAAAAATCTAGCCTTTGTAGAGATTTTGCTCATAGATCATTGTCAATGTTAATCAAGCTAATAATCTTTTTTTTTCCAATGCAAAGCAACAAATACATGTATCAATCTTTGGTTCGAGTACTTGTTTTTACGGCTCCAGTATGTATATGCTAGAATTACTTCACATTCAATGTACGGTAGTACAATGAATCATCTCAAAGTTTTATAATTCAATTTATCAAATTCCCTTTCTTCATGCATATAATCCCTGATATTCACTTTCTAACCATGGAAAAACATCATCCTAATGGATCAATATTTCCTAGGTATTTGATGGTTTTTATTTAACTTTAAAATGCTGTCCAAGTTTTGTTGCTCTTTGTTCTAAAAAAATTGTCAATCAACTTAAAAAATTGTCTGCTTCCATCGTGATGATTTCATGAAGTATTTTGATTGCGATTTTATTTGAATACGTTCATTGAATCATGATAAATTACACCCACTGTCCGAAATGTATATTTACATGTAATAAATCAATAAAATCTGCATTTTTTTAAATATTCATTATTGTTATCAAACTAAATCAATAAGTATTTTCCGACATGTACACAGTCTTCTATTATTATGATTCACATATAAACGAATATGTGACTATCGATTTCATTTGCATAATTCTGATGAATATGTATACAAGTTAACTTCCATTGCATTTTGATTGTATAATTAAACTGACCTCAGTGGCTTTATAGATGCCTAATTTAAATGTGATTTTATCTGATAAAGGTAAATTTTTATCACGAGGAATTTTCAAAAACCAGGGCTGATTGAACGACTTCGTCATCGCTTAAAGTTCTCTGTACATGATCGCAAACACGTTCTGACCCTAGGACCTACGAGTTTTATATTCTACATAATGCCTTAGAATCATAGTCGACCTTTTCAATATTGTAAATTCGCAAAACAATCTAACTGCCATCAAGTTTTAATGATAAGTAAGTGACTAAATTCCAACATGAACTATTCAGTAGATCAGCCGAAGGTTCTGAATGGTTCTCCACCTAATATCCACTCACAATTAGAACTATCTTCAGCTTGAAAAAATGTTTATCAGCCACCTAGTAAAACTCATGTATCAGTGAATTTCGCCTTTTTGAATGAATCCATTCAAGGTACTTACAGGACATATACACTATATGGTGTCATACACAAAAGTTCCCAGAACTAATAGCGTTCAAATAAGTTTTCGTAATTTTAGAAATGTCGTACCTCAACAAAGTACTCTCACTGATTTTAAGTTATTTTATTGCTGTCAAAGATATGGATGAGAAATTCGTAGCAAATAATTATTTGAATAGAGAAATAAGAAGAGTGAATGTCATACTAAATAAGAAATTTTGACCTTATCTCCAAAACTGTATTTACACAAATAACATGTTGCTTGTATGTGACTGACGAGAAAGCACGAAATGGTACTATCTCACAAAATATGTCTTCTTATTTCTCTATTCAAATTTATCAAAGGGAACCACTGTTTTGAAATAATTATTTGTTTACATTTTTCCTACTGGATGATTGGATAATTACTCTTTCATTAGACTACAAATCAGTGAATATTTAATTGTAACAAAATTTATAAAATATAGATGTGAATTGACAATGAATTAAAACTTTATAATGGACAAGCGGTATAGCGGAATGTTTACCAGTAGGTGTTAGTGTAGTTCAACTTACCATGGCTCACATATCCTAGCACCATCGAGTGAGCAATGCTGTTGTGAAGTATATCATTTCAATTGATGAAGCATTGAAATTTCATCTTTTGAGGTGTTTCCGTCATCTGTTATGTATGCCCGATCTCCGACTGCCTTTACGAGCTATGTTTTATGGTGTAGGTTTGATTATAGCTGGAGGCGCCCACACCGAAGCATGGCAAAAATCCATGAAGTCGCTAACAACTGGACTGAGTCACGTTGGTAGATGCAGGCTACCTAGTTGGGGTGTGCGAGACGAAAGTCACCGATGGTTAGAGACCTTGAACGACATGGCTCAAAATCGTTTGCAGTGGTGCAGGTGCATCCATTCTTTGTCTCCTCTCAAATTGTAATCTTCTGAATTCTTCATCATCTCTATCTTTCTCTTAAGTTTATTTCACTGGATTATACTTCATGAATAATTTCTTCGAACCCTAATCTTCTCCACTACCGCTAATACTTGCACTATCTTTACCAATATGGGATTTAATTTGGCACTTGCCTCTCTGTGTTAATGTACTATGGCAACCTGAATTGATGTACGTACGTGAGAAGTTCTATGATTTAGCTGACTGACCGACTGATTAGTTCCAGACAACAAGGTAATTGAACCCGACTTACATATATGTTTATTTTTTAAACTGCTTTGTAACGGATAAGTTTGTGATTTCATACTATTTTGTTTCTAAAAAAATTTATATAGTGTTCTAATTGATTGGTTGAATAGGCTATTTGTAAATAGGATTGGAAACAGTCGTTTTGTAAAGCTTTGTAAAATTTTACTGAAATATACG